GAGCCAAGGTGAGTACAAAGTGAGCCAAGGTGAGTACGAAGTGAGCCAAGGTGAGTACGAAGTGAGCCAAGGTGAGTACAAAGTGAGCCAAGGTGAGTACGAAGTGAGCAGAGGTGGGTACAAAGTGAGCCAAGGTGAGTACGAAGTGAGCAGAGGTGGGTACAAAGTGGGTACAATAATGTGCACAACCTTGAATACACTTTTGTGAGCAGTAAAAAGGGAAGTAATTGTCCAAAAATTTGCACGTCTCGTCTCTTTTTGCTTGTATTTTTGAATCAACTACTCTCTAAAAGTCACAGCCCAGTGAGATTACACACTCTGCAGTTTCACTACAACATGGAAAAATGTACACCCTGCTATTTAACAGAGGTTAATTATGATAGCTGAGCTAAACACTATTGGTCTTATTTATTAATTCTATTAATTCTAAATTAATTCTCCTGCATTATTGTGTAAAAATGTAATTTATAAGCAAATGAACATTTTCTCTGCAGAGTCGGTGATCCAATGTTGTTTTCAGATTTTCTGCCAAATGAGATGTAAAATTTATTCCTGACTGAACTGAAAGATTCTGCCTGTTTATACTAACAGCTCAGGTCTCAGCAGCTACAGTGCTGAGGGGTGTCTCACTCCCTGCGCGCAGAGTATTTCTACCTGCACTTTGTCATGCAGCTCCTGAACGCTCCCCTCCTTGCGTGACACGGAGAACTCAGGACTCTGCAGGATGGCCTCTCCACGGGTCATGTAGCTGTGGACCTCTGTGAAGTCCACATCGAACCTGACAACAAAAACAAACACAAAGAAACAGTCACTTTCCAGTAGCTGCATGATGGGATGAAGCTCTTTCACCCACCCCTACACTTCAATTGCACAACCATATGAAGGAACACAACTAATTTATTTCTTTTTTTATTATATCCCAATATGGCAAAACAAGGATTTAAGTTTGGTGTTTACCAGTTCTGGTTCTGCTTTGAGGGATTTTTTTTGCTGAATAAGAACCAAAATTTACTTCACTAACTCATAATCTGTTAAAAAAAAGATTAGCTTTGCTAAAGCTAAACTGCTAAACAAGTAATAATTAGTGGAGACRAACACTAACAGCTAATTGCTAACCACTAAGACGACTGTCAGTCTGCATCACGTCTTCGTCTCCTTCCAGCTGAAGACTGGAGGGACTGACTCAAACCTGGTGATGCTAGCTTGTTAGTTAGGTTTTAGCGAACTTAAAGTTGGCAAAACTTAATTTAGCAGAAGCTAACTGGTCTGCTAAGGGTTTACAAAGTTAGTGAAAGCGCTAATCTGCTTGTCACTGCCCGATCCGTACTGTCAGCTCATTTGTGCATGCGCTAAACGAAYTACTGCCAGGAGGGCTGTTTGTTTTTAGCATTTTGCTAGACTGCTTGATGACAGAATGTATTTATTTTCAATCTTTCCACCTGCAATGTTTCATAGAGAAGACAAAGACTGCAACAGATGTGGATTTTTATTCCAGAAAAAGAAAAAAAACAGTAATGAGATGAATGAATTATATAAAAAAATGATTTTTTTTCTACCTGGATTACTGAGATGCATCAGGACACATTGTAATTATAATTATAAGAGTCTTAGTTTGGCAAGTTCATATAAATAAATGTGTACACATCATAAATCTGTATTTTATGAGTCAGAAAGTATGTAATCTTAAAATAGTTTACAAATTATAATTTAGCACACCTTTATAATTATGTATGGAAATAACAGTATTTTGCCCTAAATCAAACACATTAACAGGTAATCCAAAAGTGTATCTCTTAGTGCAGTGTTTCCCAAAGTTGGGGTCGGAACCCAAAGTGGGGTCCCGAAAAATCAAGGTGGGGTCCTGAAA